AATTACGACTGGACCAATGATTCCATCTGCCCAAGGAGCACACCACACATTTTTGTGGGTTATTATCACTACAAATAGGACAATTTTATTTATTAATGTAGCCACTCAACAAACAAAAAGTCAGATTCATCCCTGGACCAAATCTTCTTGAGATAATCGGTACTAGTGGCCTTCTCTTTGACACAAGCAACGCGCTTGTTGGTCGTTGGGCTTCAATTCCTGCAGGAGTGGCAAATTTGGAAGCCCGCAAACCAAGAACCTTCCGCAAATACTTCAATAAATTGGATGGGTTCTAATCCAATTAGAGCGGGGTGGATTTTCTTTGATACTCTTCTCCGCAATGTACGGGATCTCTAACCATGTATATTATTCGCTAGAGTGAACGTGGTGCTGAACGAATATTCGACAAACCGGGCCATTAAATTTTTAATAAATTTGCACTATTTGCAAATGTAATTCCGGAGCAAAACTGTTAATTGCAAAATGGGAAATCAAACCGAGTATAAGTCAAATAATAGCTTCCAAGTCCAAAAAATAATTGTCTAATTTAAGGTCATACGTCCAAAAAAACATCCTGACCACCCCCAACTGGTTTTTTGAGATAAGAGGTATTATAGTATAGTTTCATCTTGCTTTTCAGCTTTGGAAATAAAAAATAGTCACATGGTGATAGATCAGGTGAATACGGAGGATGGCCGATGAGCGAAATCCCTTTTTTCATTACAAATTCGAGCGATTTTTTGGTCGTCATTTAATTCATGTGGAACAAATCGCGCGCAGACCTTTCTTTTCCCCAAATCTTCAGTTAAAATTCTCCAAATAGTGTTTTTACTCGTACTCAATTCCTCAGCCGACATTCTCGTAGTAAAATTTGCATCGATACCAATGATTTCACGGACTTTTTCCACCAGTTCAGCACGATTACTAGTTTCTGGACGTCCTGCCTAGGGTCGTCATTTAAATCCTCACGACCGTTTTTAAATCGTGTAAACTACGTATAAACTTGCGTACGACTCATACAATCATCAGAATAAACTTTTTTCATTAATTTTTTTCAAGTTTGACACAAAATTTTTTATTTGCTCTTTGTTCCATTTTATTTATGAACCGTTAGCACACCTTTGGTTTTATGGAAACGGCTGTCACTTTTACATCTGTCATCCGACTTACATCATGTTTGAAAGAGGATGAATGTATCTTTTTAATCTTGAAAATTTTCAATAGATGGCGCTGTATATTGTATGATTTAAATATAAAGTTCGGTTATTTTTAAGACACACCGTGTATGTTCATGAAAGGTATAAACGCTTCGGCATGACGGAAGATAACACTTCTTTCTTGGTTTTTCTTTTTTAATTTTCACCAAGCCCTCTTATCTGTCTACAGTTCGATACTCCTATTTCAATATTTCAACCTTTTTATTTATTTATTTTTTTTTTTGTTTCACTCTCTTTTGTTACAGCGAGGTTAGGAATATCTCGCCCCCATAGATCGACCAAAAAGGAGAGCAAATGTAGTATTTAGGCATTTCGAAACCACAGCGTCACCTAGCGGAATATACTTTTTTACATATGAAACAAACAACAAATTGGTCCAACCTTTGAGTAGTTAGTGGCATGCAATGTACAGTACGCAGTGACTGCAAAATGTTTTAAATATTTTCCTTAGGGAAAAATTTTCACATTGAAGTTTCAAAAAAGTACTTTTGAACGAATCGAGATCACTTCAGACATTCGAACGAATCGCTTATGCGGCGTGGAAGTCATACATTCTTTTCGCTGTTTGGAGCTAATCGAAAATACCAAGTGCAGCTAGGTCTTTCTCCACCTGGTGTTACGAACAGATTTGAGGTCTTCCTTTCCTCTACTTCCCCATTCATCCGGTCTACTCCTATGTAGTCTCCGCCCCATTTAGCAGGGCAGGTATAATGAGGGACTAGTAGAGTTTGGATTTTATTTGTAAAGATAGAACTTTACTTTCCAATTCCTCATTCAGTCCAATGTAGCTGTGGTCAAGAGTGATTCTGTGTTGGATTTCAAGGCTGACATTATTTTTGAAGTTCACAAGGTACCAGCTTGACTATCAACTGTGACGTGGGAATGAATAACGTCAATATTGTCGGATATTATAGAAAAGTATATCTTTTCTGAAACTCGTATTCGTTTTTCCAGCAACAAATCAACGAATTCAAACGATAAGAAGTCACATTCACTGAAATTTTAGGTATCGAACGGCTCAGAGAGGTTTTTTATGATTCTGACCAAGCATTTGATACAGCTTAACTTCAGCCCACACAGCCGTATAAGTTTTGCGGTGATACCAAATTCAGATATAACGGGGTAAAGGCAGCTTCTTTTCCTGCTGTCGAAGGTTGCTTTAAAATCTACGAAGATATTTTGTGTGTCGATTCTCTTTTCCCGGGTGTTTCCGAGATTTCCGACTTGGTGAATACTTGATCGACGGTTTATTTGCCAGGTCTAAAGCCACACTGGTAAGGTTAAATTACTTTGTTGACGGTAGGTTCTAGCCATTCACACAATACCCTCGATAGGCCATGGTAATTGGCCCAAATTGTATGGTCTACCACTTTGTGGCTCGAGCACACTTAGGTTCCAATCGTCCGGGGCGCTTTGATCCGACCATATTCCGCAAAGCAGCTAATGCTTACACCTAATTAATTCATCGCCGCCATATTTGAAGAGTTGGGCCGCTAATCAATCGAACCCGCTGTTTGCTGTTTTTCAAGCGCACGACTGTTCTTCATTCTTCTTCATAATGGGCTAATGTAAGGCCTTGTTGCATCGTCATGGATTGGTGATTGAGGTGTTCCGTTTTCACTACCATTCAGCTGGCTGCAGAAGTGCTTGCTTCATGAATGCCGTCAATAGTTAACCTCTCTGGGTCTTACAAGAATTTCCTCTGGTCTTGAAACCTTCTTTGTCCTCAAGAAAAGGGGTGAAAGGTTATTTTTGGATAGGCAGCTACAAATGGGGTACAATTGGAGGTAGTCATACTTCTGAGTATGCAGTCACAATCTCAGATCTATACTCAATTCCTTTACATCGCACATCCAGGAAACGAGAGCAACACTATGTAAATGTGGAAAAAATGAATTCATTCACCTTTGAGACCCGCCACGTAGAGAAATCGGCTCAAATGAAAAGAAAAATGAAACATTTCACTTATAAACATATATCAATGGAAATAAAATAAAGGAGAATGAAGCATATTTTATTCGAACTGTAGGTGGCAACACTAGTCTTCCACTCCATGTGTAGAGTTGTGAATCGTCGCTTTTTTTGCTTTATATGCTCAGGGTACCCATAGGTCTTATGATCCTAGCAGTTTAAGTCAGTAGTGTCTTCAAAATTTCAGTGGCCAATTCGACATACTTTAGAAGCTAGAGCAGTTTTAGTAGCCGTACGTCAAGTACGTTTTTTTTTTCAGTTTTTGAAAACGTAAAAATAATTTATTTATGTCCGATGGAAAAAATCAAAATGATCTAGCTTCAGTATTAAATTATCTGTTGTTAGAACTAAAAAAGTAAATTTGAATTAAAATATTATTTAAATAATTTTTTTTTTGCAACTTGATGTGATGTTTTTTACGAAAATAAATTTTTTTTAAAACTTCGAAAATATTGGAATTTTCCAACTTTTTCAGTATTTTTTTAGTTCATATAGAAGAAACACTCACAAAAAATTAAAAAAAAAAATTGTTTCAAATTCCATCACCGGCACTGTTTCACAAGTTCAGACTGCGGACGCTTCAGAAAACTCATTACAACATTGGAAAATTCCAATATTTTTTTATAATAAAAACTGTTTTCGTAGATTAAATATAGTACATTATTGTCTGAATATTTCCTTTCGTTTCAAAAAAAAAAAATAAAAAATAGCTGAAAAAACGCCTTTTTCGGGTTCTAAGGAGACTCGGCAGGGAATACCAACCCCTACGAGCGTCTTAGCGGTTACAAAGCGCCAATTATATAGATATATATATTATATAAGGGAGACTCCCGTCTTAAACAATAAAAGATTTGAAAGTTCGCAAAATTTGAAGATTTCCAGCAAACCTTCTTCAATTCGTTGGAAGGCTCGAATGGGAAGAGGGACTTGATTGAATTTTCTTTAAATTAAATAACGTTTAAAAGTATTCCATCTTCGGTGAATTAACTTATGCACATATAATATGTATTTATGTTAAATACATTACCTTATGTATTTTGCTATATTTTATGTATTATTTATGTGCATTTCTTGCAAACTCAGACACATAAAAAGAGCATAAAAAATTACTTGAACTTTTCCCGCACACATTCTTCCAAAATCAACAAAGTCATGTGTCGTACAGACACACACACACTCACACCGCTGGGTGTTTTGTCTGCCGGTCAGCCAGGAGTTGATAAAACAAAAAATATGCTTGCGCGTTTGATGACTGGAAGTTGCGCGCCGAGCTGCGTCGCACAAACACCATTAAATTCAATTTGGGTGCGGGAGTGTTTACGTATGAAGCACATACACACACACACACACATATATATATACGCAAGTATGTACATGTACATAAATGGACATATTTATATTGCATGTAATGTGATTTCACTTTTAATTGAAAATCAAAGTTAAGTTAACCAGCAAGTAAATGACGTAACCGCATTGTTTACATTGGAGTAAAGTTAAACACACGGACACGCACGCACACCCACACGCGGCGCGCAGCGAAAACATGAATCAGGTGAGAAAATTTTTTGCAGGATAATTATCGCATAATGAACTTATGTATATATATACACACACACAACTATAAATAAATATTTGAAAAAATAAAATAAAATTGAAATTAATAAGCGCTTACATAAAGCATTGAAAATAAATGAAAAATAACGGTTCAGCGACAGAGCACAAAACAAAAAAAAAAACAAAAAATGTACATCCAACACCAAAATGCGAAATTCAATGAAGAAGAATTAAAAACCGAATTACATGACCCCATACCACCGCCATTCCTGATTCTTCTTGATCATCAACGTGAAAACACCCTCGAGCAGTAGCAGCACCAAGGGTCCACATAGTGACCAATAAATGTAGTTATTCGTATTAACGGTCACTTGCCAAATGGCCAAGATGCTGTGTGCACCGAAGAAGATGCGTGTCAGAATCGCTTTAAATGTTGATATGATTTTCGCCATGATTTCATAATTACATTCACTGCTTCTCACTTCACCTCACTTCACATACACATATATACACACTTAACGCACACACACCAACACACACGCACTTGGGTATTTATGCTTATTCATATTCTTTAAAGCAGTTTGAATTCCTTCCTTTGAAAGCCCGACAAGGTTAAAAATAAAAATATTTTTTTGGACGAACTGTGCGCCTTGAAGCGCGAACCGTAACTGAAAGTTAAAAGTTCTCTAAACGCTTGTTAAACGCTTTGACCACCAGTATTTAGACGCGTTCTTAGCGTGAAATTAGTGGTTGAGTAGGTGGGCGATGTACTAAGTACTTTGCACTGTTAAGTGTAGGAAAGTAATCGGTTTTCGGTTTCCATGAGAAGACTGCGTACAAAAAATTGATTTAGAAAGCACGAGTATGTCTAAACCTAGGGGATAGGAGGGCGAGGAGGATTAGGTATCATACCCTTGAATGTCTTTAACAAGCGCAATGGATCTTGAAGGAGCTTAAGGATGAACTACATAGGACGATGATGTGGGGTGACCATGCCTTTTAGCCTTGATAATGTATTAGCTGGAACTCAGTGGTGAACTCCACCTCGGCCGTGAACAGACATTCGATAGGTTCGAGTTCATATCTCGGTGCCACCAACATCCAAAAGTATTGAAAAATTAATTTAAATAAAAAATTAAGTAAAATTTCCTACCTGCGGACGCTCCTCGTCAGGGAATGCCCACTCCTCCGTGTGTATTTCTGAGATTTAATTAAAAGCTCGTCATTCAAATCCATCAGCCGTTCGGAGCTCTTCCTCCAATTTGTGATTTGCGTCTTGATGTTTTCCCAAAATATGGAGGGATCTACAATTATATATATATATATATATATATATATATATATATATAATGTATTAGGCGGAGCTCGTGGAAGAGCTTCGGTTGAAAGATTGGAGGTGGGGTGTGATGATGTTTCCTCCGGTAGTTCGAGATTTTTTTCAGGATGTCCAGTCCCTTGTTGCGTTGGGAATTGATGGAGCGCTGCGGCTCTTTAAAAATAGTGGATCGAGAGAGTCATTGAAGTGGTTTTGTAAGCCAAGCTTATACCATTTAAGAACTAACATGGTATTGATTTATGATAATTTATACAGTCCGTTTTTATGTTTTTTCTACAAAAAGGGAAATTTGCAATTTTAAATTTACCCTCACCACGTTGTTGTACTTCGGAGTTGCTTCGCTGCTCGTAGTCCATTTCATAGTTGGTTGATGGTATAACGCCATCTTTTGGGCACTCCGGTTCGTATTTTCAATCGCTTAATTTTACCAGCAATCTAGCGGGGCGGGAACGTTTTCCGTCTATAAACAGAATGTGCTTTGGAAATCGGCTTCCAATTCACTTCCTTGGATCCATTAGAATAAACATACGTCCATATTGCCGTTTTTGTTGTTGTTGAAGAGGCTTGTCAACCCCACTTATTAGTAGTACAGATCAGTTTAAGTTATCGAGTTCATCCAACCGGAGGTCCAGGAAACGAGCTGTTTCGAGGAGATTGGGTCAGACGGACAGTCGCTTCTGCGTACCGGAGTTGAACCGGATTTTATCCAGCCAAGGGCTGTCACCCTTATAACAACCTAACCCCGTTCAGTTCAACAGGTAACAAACATCCATAAGCACCTGTATTTCACCTAACACAATCTAGTTCTGAGACTTCCGATCCGAAGGCAGAAATATTATATTTATATAACTCCATGGTAATTGTCACTCGGTTAAGGATAGAATATAATACGGCAGAATACCATATTTCGGACACCACCGGAAGTCGATCAGCTACAGTTAATTTGGGAATGGTTTATGGAGGCTGAATTCACTGACTTCTTGATCTACCCTGATCTAAAAATTCCAGGCATGCATAACAGCTATCACTTCGTCTTTCCCTCCCGCTTAAGTTTACGCACAGATCAGCGATATTTTGCTTTAAATAATTTGCGCTCGTTTAGATGGGGTCTTTTTTTTATATGCCGAAATGAGTCACTTCTTTCCAATCTTGTTTTATCCATTGGAGTTTTGGCCTTAATTCTCATGAGCACTCAACCAGCTGGGCTGTGGCACTCTTCAAATCGAGAACCGAATGCAACGTCGCTGCGCTAGGGTTAGACGTTGTTGAACATTTGTATAACGAGTCGTTTGCTTCAAGACCTACGGCAGGTCGCAGACGCAGCACTGACTCTACTAAATCTCCTTCTCTGCTGTACTAAATTTCCACTGCATGGTAAGAAGCTTAACAACACCCCATTGTACCCCATGAGCTGGTCTACAAAAGGCAAATAATGACTGTGAACTGAGACACGGCCGACAACATGCGTTCTGTCTGTCTGTTCTGTCATTGTTCACTATCGGACCCGCTTTGCTTCCTTGTTTAGTTCAAGCATAACGAAACTACTAGCGGCGCGGGTTCAAATCCTGGTGCTTCCAACATCCTAAATGTATAGAATTTTTATTTCAATCAAATAAGTTAATATTAAGTTAAATTTTCTAGTTGCGGTCGCCCCTCAGCAGGGAATGTCAACCACTCCGAGTGCTTTTATGACATGAAATAACGCTCCTCGTAAAAAAAAACCATCAGCCGTACGGAGGTGGCTTAATATAAACCTTAGGTCCCACCCTTCGTTGGAAAAACATCAAGACGCAAAACCACAAATCAGAGGAAGAGCTCGGCCAAAGATCACTTCAGCAGTTACAAAGCGCCAATTATATGTATATATATATTTAGGTATATATAGAACTAACAACTTGATTCGGGTAACTGCTTATGAGCGCCCAACTCTCCATCACTAAAAATTAAGAAAATGTTTTGAAATTCATGCGAACTAAAAGAAATCACTTAACAGGTGAGGTTAGTCATTTGCTGACATCAAACCAACAAACGAAATAATGCGCTTCCAACACATGGACACAGGGGATGATTTAAGACTATTGTCCTGCATTTATTGTCTACTAAAATTGAACTTTAAGCGCTAAACATTGACGTTGACCGTGAGTGAACGACGCAGTGTGTCGTGATGCGTTGCAATCTTTTTCCTGCCAGTAATTCTTATAATTATGTTAATAACAATAAAGATGATGATTATGAAGCGACTTTTTATTTCTACAATCGCCAGAAAGGACTCCTTAACAGTTTGCTGCATTCGTACGCAGTAGAAAGTGTTGAGGTCTTGCTGGTATAGTGATGAGTAGATCGAGGAGACAAGGGGAAGTCACTTAGTTCTGGTCACATAGTTAAAGTAAGAATCTTAACTTTAACTTACATTCCGTTGTTGTAGCTGCAAAAACAGTCACAAATTAGTTTACGTGGCATATTGCGGGAGCTATCACTCTCTTTGCTGAATAAAAACTCGGTACGTTCCGGTATTAAGACCCGACTGTCGCGGCATCTTTGGGATTTTTGTCGTCTCATGCGAAAGACATGCCTTACACCGAAAAAATTCTTGAACCGCTACCCCGCAAGGGCTTATTCACTCTCTCTGCGCAGTTGCCGGAAACACACCGCCCGTAAATCGGGACCAAACTGTTTTTGAAAATTTTCTTACCTCACTCTGACAAGAATATAACAGTATGTATTCCTACTTTAAAAGAAAAAAAAACAAAAAAAAAACACCATAAGAATGAAATGATGTCTGCCCACACTCGCACACCCTACGAGTGAACGGTCTTTTCAATTTCATGTGTATCCTTTTTCAGTCGTTGATCTGTATGTGTATACATTGGTCTTTGAAGTTTATGTGCTAGTCGTGAGTATGAACTTTACTGTTTCGAATAATGGTGGAGGTGATGATTATTGAAAACAAATTAGTGCTTGACCGCTAAACGGCATACATAAGTGAACTTCAGCCAGCTTCAGGGGATGGGCGCGTAGTGTATGACTTTTCAGTCACTGACACCTCGCTGAAGTTTTCATCACGTGCGCTTAGTATGATATGATAGCATTTAGGGAGTGAATTTCTAAATGAAATGAGGTTTGCATAAGCATTATTACGTTTCCGTTTTCAAGGCTTCGATAGCGTCTCGAATTGTGAGGTCTGATCTTTGGATTGCATTGTAAAATCCCTCGCTATTTCCTAATTCACAAAGCAAGCCGGACGGGGGTAAAAAGTCGGTCTTAGTGGGCATACCACAGAATTTGCACGAAAATTCTATGAAAAGATAAGGCGACTTGCAAAAGGTTTCAGGAGCTGACTCTTGTAGGACACAGAGAGGTGATTTTTGTAGTTACTGATGCTCAGAGTATACTGAATTTATGGAGGGCACACTTCTCCAACCTGTTGTGAAATACAACACCAGAAGCTGGCGAACCCGATTCACCAATCAATGACGATGGAACATATGTTTCATTATCCGATTATGAAGAATTTTGCATAGCAGTCGCCGGGCGAGTGCCGATGGTTTTACGGACTGAGCTATTCAAATAGGGCGGAAAGAAAGTGATAAGCTTTTTTGTAATATATGGTCGGTTGAAAGCATATCCGACGATTGGAAATAAGCGTGCTCTGCGCAATCCACAAAAAACAGCGATACCACAGTCTGCACCAAATACCGTAGGATAAACCTATTTAATATCGCATATCGATAGGGCCTTATCGAGAGTTTTGTGTGAAAAGCTAAAGCTCACCGTTAACATACTGATTGGACCATATCAGTGCGCCTTTCGACTCGATAAATCAACCATTGACCAGATCTTCACTAAATCTTGAATAAGACTCGTGATAAGAAGATCGATACACACCACCGATGTTTTTAAAGCAGCCTTCGACAGCAAGAAAAGGAGCTGCTTCTATGCCGCTCCGTCTGAAGCCGGTATCCCCTCAAAACTATTCAGCTATGTAAACTGACATTAACGAACAGAGGGAAGAACCTCTCCGAGCCGTTTGATATCAAACGAGGTTTCAGACAGACACGTTACTGTTAATAGTCATAACTTTGAAGTCGTATATAATTTCGTCTATCCTGGAACAAGTATTAACACCAACAACAATGTGAACATTGAAATTCAACGCCGAATCACTTCTGCCAACACGTGATACTTCGGACTGAGTAGGTAATTGAAAATTAAAGTTCTCTCTCGACGAACCAAAACTGAACTCTTCAAGTTGCTTATCATACCCGTCCTTCTACTAGTATGTATGAGCCGGCTTTGGGAGTCTTCGAGAGAAAGGTTTCGCGTAAGACTTATGGGAAGGGAGGAGCAGCTGTTTGAGCAATACGACGGGATTGAAAAAGTTGAGCGAATCAAGAAACAGCAGCTGTGCTGGGAGGGTCATATCGTCCAATTGAATGATAACGCTCCAGCTATAAAGGAAACAGAAAAACTCCACTTCGTTGAAAGTATCAGGATAGCGATCTGGTTTCATTTGGTATTCCCAACTGGCGCCAAAGAGCGAAATGTATATGGAATTCTAACGGTGTTAATCAGCACAAGTTGGTCCTAAAATTATTGCTGGGCATGATGGCACAGCTGTACTAATAAGAAATCGTTTAAAGCACAGCTTTCTGCAGTTCTACGCAACAAATTGGCGGCAATTAACTTCCATAAGTCTTAAAACAAGGAGGTTGGCCTTATCTTGGCCGCAATATAGTTTTCGCCGCGCTTCCTATAACAGTCAATTTACAAAATTGACTTTTTTATAACACTTGGAGACGGAGTTTAAGCAGGGGGATTACTGAGGCTTTCACTAAATAAACCCAAAAGGTCGACAGGTATGTAATACGGATATGAGCATCCAAAATAGGTTTGAATTTATCTGTCCAAGACAACCAACTTACTGACTTACAGACCCAAAGAAATTACCTGAGCGGATTGACTTTGCAGTCACCAAAAACGTAGACAGGAGCTTAGTATTTGCTGACACACGTACAGACTACTCCCAGTGATTATAAAATTGAATGAAGAACCGGTTGAAAAAGAGTAACTCTTTTGTCTTACGACATCTGGAACCAACTGATAAGCAATCACCAATCACACCGCTCGGGTCGCCTTAAAAACTATTGGATTTATAGAAATTGACCATCCGACTTGCGCTTTGCTATTGCACCGAGACTGACAAGCATACCGAATGTCCGATACAAAAACCCGACTTAAGACGACAGAAAAAAAAAACAAAAAAGACTTTAAAACACGATGAAGAGAAAACTATGCAATATATTGTTTCTACAAAGAAATCGCTTTGGAAAGCTGGTAAGAATATTAATCCGTCAGCAAATACTGAAGCACCTCAGCAGCAACCAAATACTGCTACCAATAATGCTCTTTCGTCACCAAACCATAATGTTCCAAGACGCAATGTCTAAAAAATATTATTACTGTCTAAAATAAAAAAAAATTCCTGGACAACAAAACTTAACCAAACTGGGTAACCATCCAAACTCTTTGAAGAAGATGCTGAGAGATGTATGTAGGTGAACATGTTAGGCAGTGCATGCGAGAAACCCGATATGCATAAGCGAAGAATTCTGAAGGATTTCAAGGAGGAGATTTTTTTTATGCTTTATTATCAAACGAACGAATGACATTCACAGACCATCGCTGACCAACGAACTGTATAAAGGTGGTACATTTCAAGAGATTTGTAGCGTTTATGAAATGTATCTAAACGAGATAATCAAACTTAAAAATATAACTGTCAGATGAACCGAAAAAACCGATAACTGCAGTAACAACAACCGCTGGACAGGACGGCGTATCGACAAGCACTGAACGCCATTCACCAGGAGTCAGTTAACACCTTCATGAACTCCCTTCCAGTGAATGGAGTACTCGGAGAAATACCACCACCCATAGCAGACAACGACCTCGAGCTGCCTCGAGAGACCCGCGTGACCCTGACACAACTCAGGTCTGGATATTGTAGCAGGTTAAACTCCTACTTGTCCAGACTAGACCCCAGCATACCTAACGTATGCCCGGCATGTGGAGAGTCTCCGCACGACACTAACCACCTCTTCACATGCCCCCTCAAACCTACTCATCTAACCCCCCTCTCCCTTTGGTACAACCCCGTCGAAACAGCTCGTTTCCTGGGCCTACCTTTAGATGACCTCGACGACTTAGACTAATCAAGCCTGTGCCTAAGCGGGGTTAGCGAACCGCTACAACAACAACAACAACATAACTGCAGTAAGTTCTGAAGAGCGTGAGTCGAATGATCCTTTTCGAAATTATGTTGAAAGAATTTATATTTAATACGCAATAAACTTTGTCTTTACTAAAGATGTGGTAAACTGTATGTACACAAGCTACGTTGAGCAAAGGCCTAAACTTTGATCATATAGCTTATAGGCAATCCCTAAGTATTTGTCAAAATTCCAATCTCACTTGAGGGCAAATCTTTTTTTTTTTTCAAAACATTACACAACACTGACGAATACAACCTTGCACAATTGTCAATTAGACAGCAACGTGTTGTTGCACAAAAGGGAATGCCAAAGTTTGACAACTTGTCAGATTTTATTTAAAAGCAAACTGAGAAACAATCGAAAGGAACTTTTTTGAAAACTATTGGAATTTTTGCCATTTGCATTTTTATTATTAATTAAAAGTTATTAATAAATACATATTGTGACGAATACACAACGCGCTTTCAACAGTTAACTGTGATACACAGTGGAAAATAGGCAAAAGCAAGCCATAGGAAGCTTTGTGGAAAATTAGAACAGTGATTTACGAAATAATTGCTGGCAGTGTTAGCGGTAGCCGCACTTACTGCAAAGCACCCACAACAAACAGTCTACAGCTCCAACCGATAACTTGGCGCACAAGCTAAAAGCCCAACGAATTGTCGGAAATCGTAAATATTTCATTAACACTGCATACTAAAGTTATGGACAAAATGCCATCCAAACAGTTTGAATCGTGAGTATTGCCAAACTAATGAACAGATAATTGGAAAATGACACCACCATTAACAGTATAGAATGTAGTTTATTGTCAAAATAGTTTAATCCAGTTTTTAATCCATAGTCTCGTGATGCAAGTAAATGCATCGTGCAGTCCAAGGCAATGTTGGGTATAAACAAATGTAAGCGTGTTATCACGAATATTGTTAAGGTTATGTTTTCGTCGAGCTATATACGTTGACACCATTTCTCTGATGCTGGCGCAGTTAGCTTATTTAAGGGCAAATAAACAAGTTAATGTTATACTATTAACTATTATTTAAGCCCAAATCTACGATGTTCACATACTTTCTTTTATAAATTTCAAATAGTAAACAAGGACGCTGACGCTATCAATAGATAATTATAATTAGCAAATTGTTTACATGTTTGGTACTGCCGAAACGTTTGATTTAGCTGCAACTATTTCATATATAGTCATACTTACGACAATTCCTTGTCAATAAATAACACGCTATTACTAATTTAAATAACATATAATTAAAAAAAACCGTGCACTTTAATATACTTTTATAAAATGTAATACCTCTTAAGAAACAATTTTTTGTCATTGACCTTTTATTACTTGAGTAACAGCATAAATTATCTATTACGATTTATTAATTTTTTCATCATTCGCAGGAAACCATGGCCAGATTTGGCTGACAGCGACGACAGTGATATGGAAAATGAAATAGATGTAGATAAACTGCCACCTTTAGAAGTTGGGCCAAATGAGAACAGGCTGCAGCATACATACTGCCTATGGTTCTCACGAAAGGGGACACATCGTGCCACGGATTATAGTAAATCGCTACATGTTGTTGGGCGTTGCGCTAGCGTACAACAGTGGTGGTCGCTATATTCCCATCTTATACGACCAACAGCGTTAAAACCTTATCGAGAATTAAGCCTTTTTAAACAAGGCATAAAGCCGATGTGGGAGGATCCAGCAAATACAAAAGGCGGTCAATGGGTAATACGTTTACGAAAGAATAAAATTGATCGTGCGTGGGAAAATGTTTGTATGGCAATGTTGGGCGAACAGTTTTTGGTTGGTGATGAGATATGTGGAGTGGTATTGACAACTAAATATCCGGTAAGTACATGCATTTTCCTTTTAATAAAGAAGTAGACAATCCTGTGCAGATATACAATGCAGAATGCTATAAGTTTTGAATGATAAAATAGCTTGTCAACAATACCTATAATGGGCGCGAAAAAAAGTTTGAATTAGCTACCTACATAAGTGGATATCAAAAATAAAAGTGAAATTATGAATATAAAATAGTGTTCTCTTAAATGTATGACAGTGAATTGTTTATTCCGGAAAGTCGGATTTTGGTTGACAGTTGTTTGCTCTCATATATTTTTGGCAGTTGTTGGTAATGCTGAGCCTCTTAAAAGTTTGTTTTTATATATTCAAATTCCTTCTTACATTTACTGGTATTGTAAACAAAGCCAACTAATAATAATATTATAATATTACATTAAAAAATTTTCTTCTTTCTATATAGACCGGTAACCAAATAAATTAAATATTTTAATTTGAAAAAAACGGGTACAAATTTTGCCCTGGTTATTGGTGTTGACATCATTGTTCACATACGTTTTTAGCTTACGTGAGGTTAATGACAATTCATAACAAAATGTCAAAAGTGATAAAGAAGCAAATAAATAGAGGTGGATTAGTGTATATTGTGCTCAAATTGTGTTCCACCTATTGAAACCAAAAATACATTTGTAAGGAAATTCCATCAAAACATCATCGAATTGATTGTGATATTCAGCGGAAAATTATTTAAAATATATAAAGTACGCTGTTGAGTTGCAAACTTATGTGAATTTGCATTCCACACATACAACGTTTTTTTTTTCTTTGTTTGTGCTACTTGCCAGCTTCGCCTTGACGTAATAGGTGGTGCTTGTCAAACGATAAAAAGCGAAAGAGCGTAGAAAGCACAGTCCGAAAGCAACCAAGGAGCAATCAGCGCAAAATATTCCAGCCAAATAAATTAAAAAAATTTGTGTAAATCAACACATTAATTGATAACTTAAGTGAAATTTAAAACTAATTCGCTTTATGTTTTGCGTATGTATATTAAATTTCAGTACAGTATCGCCTGTTATTGTGATTGAGTTTGGTAGTGCTGCATAAAAAAATTTCAATCGGTGACAAGACGCTCCAAAAGTTGATTAACTGAGTATAACGCACACAACACCCCCAATTTTCAGAATATCTAACGCAAACGCACTTGGGACGCTACTCATACGAGCACACAAAATCCACACTCGTACGGAGTAGAAAAGAGCAACGATTTTGCGAATACCGATGCAGTCGTAGGCAGTTTCATATGCCAGCGCTCTTGCTACTTTCATTAGATTGTCAAGAGCCTTCAACGCGTCGAGAGCTACACACCGTGCGTCCGTGCGCTACATACCGTGACAAAAAGCAAATTATTCAGCGCTGACTGGCTCTTTTTTCTTGCTAAAGTGGTATTGTCGGAAGCACTGTGTTACGTTTCATAGAAATCCCGAAAGAAAAAGTTAATTATCTGAAAAATAGTGCTTTTTACGTTAATAATAGTAATCATAGCGTCTGCATCACACCAAACTACCCGCCTTGTCGCGCCCACCGCATTTACGGATTAACCGCGCGCGTACGCTTTTAGTTGTAAAAGAGACCCTGAGCAAAAATCGATTTTTCTATGATTTGCACGTTGTTAAAGAAAATTTGAAATTGTATCGAGCTACGCGAATGGAAAATATATCAAAAGAAAACGCGAAAAAGTTTTGAGCCAAAGGATATAAAGGCTGTTTACAAATTAAAAGAAAAAGTGTAAAAATTTATAAAAATTGCAAAGGAAAAAATCAAAAGTTTGTGCACCAAACCTGAAAGATAACTTTTACAAACAGCAGCACGTAAAGAAGAGATAGGAAACAAAGTGAAAGAAAAACCCGATACACAAAAAACTTATCTACCAACAATCAAAATTCAATCCACTCTCATTCATTGCTGTTCTAGTATCATTTTGCGCTGATTTTTCCAACACGCCTGAACGTCTCTACTGTTGAACACCTTTTCAACGTTGAGCAACATTTTCGAGACTGTGCTCCTCTAACAGCGTCATCGCCTTAATCGTCACCATAAACAGCAAACGCAACAGCCAGATACCAACAATTTTCGTTCCAGCGCGTGTTATACCACAAACTAATATAGTTTCATAAATCCAGATTTTATTGAATATATATGTGTATGAATTTGTGATGAAATGTCAAGTTAAATTATACTTCAAGAAAATAAGTGACAAAAATTATGAAAATTAATGTGTAAATGTGTTTAGCAGAAATATCACTAATCGCTAAACAAAAGTTAGGCAGAAAGTGAGTCATGCTGCCGTTGCCATTGTCGCTTATGCTATCGTTATCGTTGCTATTAACGTCGCCCAAATTATTATTATATGTCGCTCTAAATATTGTTGTAAATTGAATTTCTTGACCGTGAGCATTGCCTTCAACGCTCCTATATACTAAAACGCATGCTAAAGCATACCAATCTGCCCCTACTCTCAATACGAAGTATAACAAAAGCGAAAAATTAAAGAAATAAAAAGCAACAACTAAAACATACTCTAAGCAATAAAAGTTAAGTGTTAAAGTTAAAATATTGAAATAAAGTAAAATTGTTATGAAAAGAATTTAATAAAAATAATAAATATCACACAAAACCAAAATTGCAAACACCGCGGCACAGTCGCTTGTCTATACAGTTCGCAATTCGCAAGGAAAAATCGATAATCACAAGTCGAACGAGCGCAAACTGCCGCGCTCGTCCACCCACCACCGCAAAAAAGAAACGAAACGAAACGAAAAGAAAAGAAATTCAGGCGTGGAAAGTGTTACACAAAAGCGGTGTGCTGGGAGACCGACAAAATTAGCCGTGAAAAGAGCGAAAAATCTAAAAGGAATCGACGTGTACTAGCAAAATTAAATTGCTGTAGTGATGATAAGATCAACGAAAAGATCGTGATTAAATTTTCGTTTTATTGAAATTGCATAAAATCAGTGATAAGCAAACCAAAAAATTGACTGCCAGTAAATAAAATAAAAATAATAACCGCCTTGAAAAAAAAAATCGAATCCCTTACCCTTCTAAAAATAAGGATTTTCTTGAAAGTTGAGCATAGCAAAGTCAACGAACGACATCAACAAACTTCAACGAAAGTCGAAATCTGAAAAAAATTAAATAATAATAATTAAAAAGACACAAATAAATAAGTACTTATTTATCAGGGAGAAGTAGTTTAACAAATACTCTGTTCCGAACAGAGCAAAGGTGAAAAAAAAACAAAAGAAAAACTTCTATTCACACCTTCATTGCAATAGAAAAATAGCTTCAAAATGACAAAGGACAGATTAGCCGCACTCCATGCCGCTCAATCCGATGACGAAGAATCGGAGGAAGTGGCCGTAAATGTGGATGCCCATGACTCGTACATGGATGAGTTCTTTAAACAGGTGGAGGAGATAAGGGGCATGATCGATCGTGTGCAAGACAATGTTGAAGAGGTGAAAAAGAAGCATTCAGCTATACTCTCCGCCCCTCAATCAGATGAGAAAACCAAGCAAGAACTTGAAGATTTAATGGCCGATATTAAAAAGAATGCAAATCGTGTGCGTGGCAAACTAAAAAGTATCGAGCAAAATATCGAACAAGAAGAACAACAAAACAAATCGTCCGCCGATTTGCGTATACGCAAAACACAACATTCAACATTATCCCGTAAATTTGTCGAGGTGATGACAGAATATAATCGCACACAAACAGATTACCGAGAACGTTGTAAAGGTAGAATACAACGACAACTTGAAATTACTGGGCGTGCAACGACCAGCGAAGAGCTGGAAGATATGTTGGAACAGGGTAATCCAGCTGTTTTCACTCAAGGCATCATTATGGAAACACAACAGGCCAAACAAACATTGGCCGATATTGAGGCACGTCATGCTGATATCATGAAATTGGAGACATCGATTAAAGAGCTGCACGACATGTTCATGGATATGGCTATGTTGGTGGAGTCGCAGGGCGAAATGATCGATCGTATTGAATATCATGTGGAGCACGCTATGGACTATGTGCAGACGGCAACTCAAGATACAAAGAAGGCGCTTAAATACCAGAGTAAGGCGCGTCGAAAGAAGATTATGATCCTGTTATGTTTGACTGTGTTGGGTCTCATAGTTGCTGCATATGTTGGCATGTCAATGTAAATGCAATTACAATATTACTACTACATGTTTACTATTATTATTATTATTATTATTATTATTATTATCATTATTACTATAATTATTATTTATTACATACATATGTTTAAAAAAAAACAACAACAAAAGAAAAAAAAGTATAGCAACAAAGTAAAAACGATTATTAAAACTAGTTATTAGCTCTTATAACGCCAAGTCGTAAAAAATAAATCCAGCAACAGTTAGCTCTGCTTGACGGTTGTTGGCTTGTGATTGCGAGATTAAGAGAATGCGATAAGAGTCTTCGTATAGTAATGCCATGCGGCCGTCAATGCCGCCAATTTGTAAGCTGCCTTTGCGGCCTATTTGGTGAATTATTACATACTTAATTACCTAATTAAATGATTAATAGCTAAAAAAGAAAAAAAGAAAAACAAATAAAAATATTAAAATAAAGCATAATTATAATGTATTTACTATATATTATGAAATCTTATTGATTACTGTTATAATGCGAAGCAACCATAACTTAAAACGTAAAATTAAATATACATACATACATACATGCAAATATACACAAAAAAAAAAGCTAAGAAAGTGAAAAGGCGATTAAGTAAAACAACAATTGCATTACTTTGCAAAACAAAATACGAAACCAACATAAACATTACAAAATATTCAAATAAAAACAAAAACTACTTATTGTACTTTCCAACTTCTCTCATAATTGTTGATAAGAATTTCCTGGTTAAATGTTTAGTCACAAATGTGTTGAAGGTCTTTTCATTTTACTTGCTTTTAAGCATAAAGTAAACGCAAAAAAAAGAAAAAATGAATTAATAAATAAAATAAAAAACAAAATCTTTAAGCAAAATTTGACGCTGAGAGCGCATTTACAAACATTTTTAAGATAACTCGTTTTCACGAAAACAAAAAATTTATGTTGAATTTATATACATACATATATACACAATTTAATTTAGTATACTTCCACGAAATCTCATATTTGTATTATAAAAATAACACGCTGTATATTTACTTAAATAGTACATAACAACATGCATACATACTTATTGCATATTTCTCTAGTTAACTCTTATATAGCGAAACTTTATTACAAAAAAAAAAAAAAAAATTTAATAAAAAAAAATTAAACAAAAAAACATACTCAAACAACAAAACAAAACCCATTTACTTATTAAAAAAAGCATATAATCTCTCAATATAGAAATCTCTTTATATATTGGAAAAAATCAATTGAAACTTGAAAAAGCATGAGAAAAATGTTACGAAAAAAAAATAAAGTAAAATCAATTAAAATAAAAAGTAATTGAATGAAAATTTACGTTGAAATTGCATTGCATACATGTAACAAATTGAAGTCGTTAAATAAATGAATAAAGACACAAGCACACTTACATACACACACACACAAATACATACATTTGATTGTAATGTGTATGACTAATCATACAGTAAAACACTAAACACACTGTATGCACATACATACGTGTATAATATATGCAATAAGTGAACAGTGCATACACACACACACCCTATAAATGTTTGTTTTCATTGATTTTAATAAATAATTTTTTCCTCAATTTTACCTCGTACACCTGTACAACTTGCATACATATTTACTGCGAATAAATGTTAAATTAAAATCACTTGAGTTTTTCCAAACATAACTCATATATGTATACAGGTATATCAATAAATAATTGCTTGGTTCTTAAATTATTTGTAGATAAGATTACGCTTTCAAATGATCGTTGGTTTGTGATTTTTTTTTTTTTGTGCATATTTGTTTTGCTTGATCATATATTTAAGCAGTAGTTTTTTTTCTCAATTGAAATGACTTATTTTGCTGTGACTCCTCGAATGTAAATGCATGCAAAATAAAGAAAGAATTGAGAATTTAAAATCTTGATTTTTCGGAGCAACAATCGATTTTTATAAAAAAAAAAAGGAAAATGCAAAAAAAAATTTCAACGCATTTTTCATTTAATTTTTAATAACAATGATTTGAAGAGATCAACTGAATTTATGTTAGTATTTTTATTTAATTTTTCATAAAGTTTTTTATTACCTACAGATGAAAATCTGCCAGACAATTAGCTGGTAGACCAAAGCTTATAATTATTTTTTAATTAAAAATTTTATTTACGAGAAATTAAATCTTATTGTTCTAATAACAATTAAAATTTACTTTTCATCAATTCATCTTAAATTTCGTGATTTTATCTATTAATTACAAGTTTTTTATTTATTTTCTTTATTTTATAATTTTTTTTGCAGCTAAACAAATAATTGTTTTTTGTTTTTTTTTTTTTTGCGTTGTTTGACCAACAATTATTTTTACGGATTAATACACTCATAGCCTTTTGCACTATTTTCTTGTAATGTAATATTATTTATTACACTTTTCAATTTTTCTTATGTTTTTTGTTTGTTGAATATTTGTCTTTTGCCAATGATTGCACGTTAAAACAAATTTGAAAGCGTAATAACTTTAAAGTCCCAACAAAAAAAGTGCAATACTAGAACAATTTTTAATGTTTTTTATCTAGTTATGCTCGCATTATAATACAAATATATATGTATTCTTAGTTTATGCCTAAACACTTTTATTCAATTTTTTTTTTTTTTTTTTTCTATTTTATTCTTATTGCTAACTTTATGTTTCGATAGTTAACGATTACAAAAAAAAAATCTAAGTAATTCGCTGATTTTCGTATAATTTTACATAGAAAATAAAGTTAACTTATACTACATATCCCAATTAACTAACATTTCGTAATACTCATATGATTTTTTGTTTATTTTTCTTCTTTTTCTTTGACTTTGGTTTGTGAATATTCAACTTTTAACTTTGCATGTGTTGTTAATTTACGTAACACGCAACATAACAAAAAAAAAATTAATATATTACGACCAACAAACAAAAAATAAAAAAAAAAATCTAAAAAAAAAATTGGAACACTTTCACCCGAAACTACAACACCAATAACAACATACGATGTATACATATATATTTACGCCGCATGCCATCAACATCATCAAATCGACCAACAACCAACAACAAATACGATTTTATTTGGGATTTTAACACACACAACGCATGCCCACATATCTTGCTTATATGTATGTACGTTTGGGTTTGCCTCATCTAACGAAACACAAAAAAAAATTAACTATTTGCTGCTGCCACAACAAAATTTTCAATTATATTTCACTTTTAAAATGAAATTGTTTAAACATTTCGCCGCCAAACTACACACTGCATCACAATTACATTTTAAATTAATTATTTTTTATATAAATTTTTTTCTTTATAATTAATTAATTATTTCTATTTTACAACTATACTTTTTTAAAACTTTTCATAAATTTAATACATTTTTATAAATAACTTTTTTCATAAATTTATTAAACTGTTTTAAATTAATTTTATTATTTTTATAAAATAATTTCTTTTATTTTATATATATAATAATTTTATATTTTTTATAATTAATATATTTCTTTTATAATATTTTTTTATAAATTAAATTAATTCTCTTTCTAAATTATTTTTTTAAATTAAACTTTTTTTAACTTCTTTTATTTTTTATAAATACACTTTTTTTTTAATTTTCTTTGATAAATTAATTTTATTTTTTTAACTAATCTCGTTTTATAAATAAATTTAAAATTTTTATTTTTATAAACTAATTTAATATTTTATAAAATAATTTTTTATAATTAATTTTTTTTATAAATTAAATTTATATTTTTGTTTAATTTTATATGTATTTTATATAATTTTCATTAATTAAATTTATTTATAAATTAATTCTCTTAATTATTTTTTTTCTCATTAATTTTAAAATTTTGTTTTTCAAAATATTTTCTTAAACATTTTTTTCTTATTTATTTTTTTATGAATCAAATTTATTTTCTTTTATTGTGTTTATTTTGTATAAATAATTATAATTTTTTATAAATTAATTTTATTTTTATCTTATATAAATGAAATTTATTTTCATTTTATATTTTTTATAAATTAATTTTTTTTTATTTTTTTTTTTAATTAAATAACTTTTTTTTTTAATTTTCTTTTAAAACATGAATTTCTTTTTATAAATTATATTTCTTTATGGATTTTCTTATGGATTAAATTTATTTGTTTTATAATTCTTTTTTGTGTAAATGAATTTTAATTTTGTTTATAAATCATTACTCTTTTTACACATTATTTTTTTTTATTAATTACATTTAATAAATTGACTTTACAATTTTTTGTTAAATCTGTTTGCTTTTATAAATAAATAAATTTTCTTTTCATAAATTATTTTTTATTATTTTTTGATTGATTTATATTAATTTTATTATTTTGTAAAATTTAAATTTTTTTATAAATAATATTTTATTCATAAATTATGGAAATTAAATTTTTTATAAATGAAATTTTTGAATTTATTTTTTTTTTATAATTTTCATTTTATTTTTAATTAATTTTATTTTTTTTAATAATTTTTTTTTGTTAATGAAATTTTTTTATTCACTTCTTTATAAATTAATTTTACTTTCTTTTTTAATTAATTTGATTAATTTTATAAATATTTTTTTAATTATATTTATATATTTAATACAAAATACGCCACCAATAGTGGTTTGAAAAATTAAAGGAATTACCAAATTTACACACATTTAAGCTGTCACAATTTATTTCAATTATTTATTTATTTGAATTTTGGCATCACCGCCAGTCAAGTTAAAGCCGCTAGAGTCGCCAACTTTTGTCAGCAATTGTTGAGGACAACCATAAAAATGTGTATGCCGTTTGAAACAATACATATATACATATAATATATAAATTTTGATTGCAAGCGCACTGAGAAATGAATAAGATCACTAGCATGCCTACGCCAACGCCCGCCGCTAATTGTTTTTTTTTTTATTCTGTGTTTTCTCAAATTTGTTGTTGGCACTTTGGGTGGGCGTGGCTTACTAAATACATATATACATATATTTGCTTATTTGGCAAAATAATAACTACGCCGAAGTTATCTTTAATACATACATATACATATATGTGTGTATGTACCTTTCACGCACACACACACCGCCCTTGGGAATGCCACTGCAAAGCAGAAGCAATTAAGAAATAAAAATTACAACAATTGAATGCATTCAGCCAGCACGCACTTTTGAACTAACTTTTTCAGCGACCACCCACCATTCAAGCAAGTAAACGCACAACATGCAAAAGCGTATGGAAAAACTAAAAAAAAAGAAGTTTCTGCAAAAAAGCAACAACAACAACTGCACAGTTATCACTTTCTCGAACCGGCACAATTGCACACGCTGCACGAAGAAATCTTAAAAATCGAGCATAAATGCGCGTCAAAGCATGTTTTTGCTTAATAAGCGTAATAAGCGCCGGCTCCTTCGTATTATATCAATCAATCAAAAGATTGAAATGCCGCAAAACATATATGTACGATCATCGCCAAAAAAAAAAAAATTCAATAATATAAACAAAACGCAAGCGACTCGCCAACTTATCAACCAGCCTTCCAACTAAGCTACCAACATCCTTCGGCCTACCAACTGCAGCCAACTTAGCCACCTGTCGACTGCTACGCATGTTAGACGCTGACAGCGAAACCAACACCAATTAACTGCAACTGCTGGAGAGCAAAAAAATTAAAACGAAAAAAATTACAAAAATACAACAAATTTGCAGTGTTGGTAAGTAGTTGAAAAGCAAAACAAACAAAAAAATATATAAAATTTTTATATACGAAAAATGAAAAGAACCCGTTGACTGAAGCAACTTGTATGATTCGCAGTAAAAGTGCATAAAAAGGCATGCAAAATTAGAAAGAAAAGCAGAAATAATTGCGGTTGCTTTGTGTCATTCTTCTTAGTGGTGGCCTTGTGTGGGAATAAACGTTTTTTTTTTTTTTTTGTTTCATTCAGCAGCGAGTATATGTATATATATATATATATATATATTGTTTCGTTTATGATTAATTTATTTTATTATAAATTTATCCGAAAAGATAGCAGCGGTGCTGGTGCATAATTGTGTATTAATGGTGAACCAACAGAGCTCGACATTTTGTTGAGAATTCTATAATTATACATACATACATATATGCATACATACATGTGTACATATGTGATTTCTAAGAATTATAGAGCAAAACAAAAGTAATAATTTTTATGTAAAAATAAAAACAAGCTGTGTTAGTTTTATGGAAAAGTCAATTACCTACACGACCTACATACATGCATACGAGTACATACATACATACAAATTAATTTATTTAATTTTCCTTAAGCGTACATGCATGTGGTACATGCATATGTACATACAAAAATTAGCTTATTAATACATATAGACATAAATATATGTATATGTGTGTATATATAATTAATACTATTTATTGCTAAAAACATTGTTTTTATTTTTTTCAAATTTATTTGTTTTTTTTTTTTTGCTTTTTTTATTTGTTTTTTTTTATTTGTTTTTTTTTTAATTTTTTTTTAATTTTTTTTTTACTAAATTATGCTAATAATAAATTCTTGTGATTGTATTGGTCTTTTTTGAACATTTTCGGTTTATTATTAATTAATTAATTATGTTTTGAGTATTAAATTGATATAGCCGCCAATTATAATTGTAGTTAATACCAAATGACCAGACATAAATACACTTAAGTACTTATAGCATACATATTAATTATATTTAATCAAAATATATATTTAATAAATTAATGCTAATTTGATATTATAAAAATTTTGTAAATTTGGTAGAACACCTAACAAACAAATAAACAAAAGAAAAGAAAAAAAAACAAAAACGAAAAACGAAAAAAAACCAAACAAAACTGTATGAATTTGTATGAAAATTAATTTTAATTTTATATTAGTACATCTTATGTATGTAGCATGTATCTTTAGTATGAAGTTAATCTAATCGATGAAAAAGCAATATGAGCTGCATACGCATATAGGACATATGTAAAATTCCATATTTCTTATATAAAATATATTAAATTAAATATAAATATAAATACAAATACATATAAATATATACATATATATAATAATAATAATTAACTATATAATGTAATTATGCAATGATTTAGAAAATTTAAATATTCGATTTCTAATAAAAAGTTTGCCTTAGGAGGTCATTTGTTAAGTCAAAAAAAAAATAATGAAATTGTTTTCTTATTTTTCTCTGCAAAAGTGTTGTTGTTTTTGCGTTAGGCGACCTTAGAATGGTTGATTTGTCCAGAAGTCCCACATGGTTTTCAGAAACACCACACAAACGATCAAAATCGCGTATTGGAGTAGCCTTTTTGCTCTTTTATTCCTTGCCGCTTGTTAGCCATTAGCTTGCTCTCGCGCCGGGCACTCATATATTATAGTACTGGTATTTACATACAGGGTTTTCCAATAAAAGGTGTTATTTTGATATTCAAAGAAAAATTAAATTTTTTGAGATAAATGCTCCGATGTTTATTAAAAATGTAAAGAGGGATATATGCCATTAAAAATGGTAAGCAATAACAGTCCATTTTCCATAACCAAATCGCAAAGTGGCTGCTGTATGCCCTCAATGGCTTCACGAATTCCATATTTGAGGTCTTGAATCGACATTAGCATGTTGGCGTGCATCTTATCTATCACGTGGACCCAACGAATGAAGTCGCAAGCTGTTAAATCACATCATCTCGAGGGCCGATTGCGATCACCTCTTCTAGAGATAACGCACGGTCCGTGCAACTTCTTGCCTTGAAAGATCGTTGCTTTTGTGGCTTATAACGCCGCCTTGTTGAAAGTAAACCTCTTCCAGATCAACACAATCCAATTCCCGGAATAAAAAATCATTAATAATCTCTCGATAATGCAATCCACTCACCATAACCGTTGTTCCAGCCCAATTTTCGATAATCTCGGTTTTTTGAGCCTCAGATGTGACAGTTTTGCTTATTGACGTAACCATCGAAGTGGAAAAATGATTTTTCGTTGAAGTTCCGGATCATTTTGATGCATTTCAAGGACCCAATCAGCAAAGGCACGACGTTGTTGATGTTCGGCTGGCTAAAGTTCTTATGTTAACTGAACTTTTCTCACCAATTTCTGTATTGCGGTCCGTCAGTGTGCTTCACCACGACCGAAAAATATTTTAATTTTAAGAACTGTCTCTGTCAGGTTTTCATCGTTTTCAGTCTGTTGATGATTGTTCTATTTTCATATTTCTCAAATGTCTAAAGATTACGACTTCAAAAGTAAGATCTACGGTATAGCAGGTTATTCAAAATACCATCTCTTATTGGAAAACCCTTTATATATACATATATGCTTTGTAACCGCCGAACCGCGATTTTCAGCCGAGCTCCTTGTCCTCCAATTTGTGATGTGCGTCTCGAAGTTTTTCTTCCAACAAATGGAGGACGGCTGATGATTTCTATGAGGAGCTAGTCTAGTACTCGTATTTCAGGTCAGAAATTCACTTCAAAGGCTTGACATTCCCTGCCGAGGGGCGGCCGGTATTGGAAAAATCAACTTAATTTTTCATTTCAAATAAATTTTTTTTTAATTTTCGGATGTTGGCTGGTGCAAGACTAGAACTATTACTACTACTACGGTATATCGCGGCTACCTTCTTCTCTTCTAATTCTCCTTTTATTGTTAGTTGGCCGATAGGACAGAAAGTTTCAGGGGCTCTATGGGGTTTCTTGCTGCCGCGTCTTTTGTTAGTTCGTCTGCTGTTTAATTTTCTTTTATGCCTCTGTGTATGTTCCGCATCTAGAGCGTGGTAAAAACTGGCACTCTACAGAGAAGTATTTGGAAACATGAGTTCAAGGTTGAGATTTTATAATTTTTTTGAAAGTTTTTTTTTGTCGTAATTTTCTTAAAGATTTCACAAATTATCACCGAGCATTTCCGCGTTTTTAATAACAATTATTTTTTGCTTTATTGTCATTTTTCGTGAATTTCTATGAGATTTCACACATACTCCTCGACCTGGCTTTCGCTGAAAGTAGATATTTCTGGCAAGTTCTACATTTTCGCACATATAAATATTTTTTCTGTCTGTTGTTTGTTATTTGTTATTTACAAATGCAAATATCTTATTAAAATAAAGAAGAAAACTGAGGTAAGAAAGAGGCGTAGAGAGAAAAAGTTCGCTAACTTGACTGAAAGTCTGACTTCATCGCTTTGGTAAATTAACACGATGCTTTGAACAAACAAACAAAAATTCCACTGAGACGATCAAAGACGCAATGTTAATAAGTGTATTGTGTTATACAAGCAATATAAAAAAAAAATAGAAAACATAAAAAATGTTTAAGTAAATTAAGCGAAATAAAAAATGCAAAAATCGAAAAATCGAAAAATCACACGCCAACTCAATAACTCTCACGACGCTAATAATGACTGCTGTGGCATCAAGTGCATATGCGAGTGGGCTTATAACACATACACACACGCTTACAAGCACTGACTATTGTATACACATATGCATATGTACAATAGGTTTTCCGCTGTTTGTTGGTGAGTCATCAACACCTTGATTACCGGCATTAAGAAAAACACTGTAATAGTGTGTTGTTCTTGTTTTTTAGCCTTGTTGCTGTCACGCCATTGCCTTATATGCATTTACACATACTCGCACATGCCGGCTATTACCCGCATTACCGCCATTCACTCTCAATTACCAACGCCGACAACAAAGCCAGTTAGTTCGACGTCAGTAAGAGCGCCAGCGTAACAGCCAACGCAAAGCTATTAGCGTCGCTGCACAGGTTACTGACGCCTGCTAAACTCTGGCTGCGGCTGTTGTTGTTGCATTTAAATTTCTTAGCTACAATCGTTAATAATGTTGGTGTAATTTCTTTGATTAAATTTTTTTAGTGTATTTTTTTTGCAGATTTTTTCTGAATTTAGAAAAAAAATTAATTGAAATTAGAAATTAAGCGTAAAGGGTGTTTTGTTTTAGATGTGTGGTTTTCAATCGAGTAATATTTTTTCCGGAGTTGGGCTTTTTGACAACTGTTACTAGATTTATACCCAGTTTGATTTACCATTTCATAATGCACAGCCCTACTCCGTAGCAAAGTGTGAAAATCGTGCAAATTTATTACCAAAATAATCGTTCGGTTCGCACGACGCAACTCGCGCTGTTTTCAATATACGCTTGTCATATTCGTACAGCAGAGTCGGTAATTCTAGCAATCATGGACCGGCTTGGCATCACGTTTACTCCAGCGGATAATGTTCAACCTCAGAGATCCCGCACAGTGCGCACCGAAAACGTTATTGCTGCTGTAGGTGCTGCAGGGTATCGTAGGAAACTCAAATGCGTGAACGCCCTTTCGCACGCAACTGTTGGAGATTTACCCATCCGCTTGATGGAAGATTGAGCGAAAGGATCCTGACTTGCGTGCCTCCGAAATTCAATTTGAACAAGAATTAAAGCCGTACGATCATCAAGCATGTTGCATGTTCTGTGTATGGGCTCACAACGAGTTGGCCACCGATAAAAAATTTTCACAAGAAAATTTAGTACAGCGATGAAGCTCACATTTTGTTGTTGAATGGGTACGTTATTAAACCAAATTGTCATATTTGTAGTGATGATAAATCACAAGCGGCTGTTGTGACGCTGACACATCTTCCACATATTCAAAAAGTTTGGTATGC